TAGAATGTCTAAATATATGCTTTATCAAATTTTAATCGTGAAATAATAGAGTCTAATTAAAATACTATGAAACTTTTTATTATTTCGTGCAAGATCTAGTGCTATGAAACATTTTTATTTTCTCGTGCAAATTTGTACATTTCAATCAACTACCTTTTCCCACAACTAATATTCATTCAATTATACTTCAACATAATATTTGATTTTTAAGCCAAACACAAAATAAGAATGAGACCGCTATATTAAGTTTATTAGTTCGTCTAAGGAGCATAATTTATTGTACTGAATCTCTTTATTCAAATAAATTGTAATGACAACTACATCTTAGCCTTGTACAAGTTACCGTGAATATATGAGTCCTCATCAATTGAACAAAATTTGTCAAAAAGTAGGATTTCCTAATAAGATCTCAAAAAAAAGTAAGAAGAACTAAGAAGGAAGAAAATTCATCTCCAAGCTCCATAGTTGTGTTTTATAAAAACATTGTATCTCTGTATTAGGAGATAATAATAGCTTATTTGGTTGACTTTTTGAAAGTAGTTCTTTTCCCAGTTTATCTATTTCCAATCGAGAAGCTTAATTTGTTAGTGTGGGAGGAATTAGAAGTAGAGGTACGCTCTATTTGGATTAAACCGAATAATCAAATCAAATTTTTATTTCAACTGGTTTTTTGAATTGGTTTTGGATTAAAAAATTACTTTGTTTGGTTTCGAAAACCTAAAAAACCGAAAAAAATTTGTCTCTTTCCCCCCTTCCCCCCGCTCTGTGTGTCTGTGTGTGTGTCTCTATATATATACATATATATGCATATATATATATACATATGTATACATATATATATATATACATATATACATATATATATATACACACACACACACACACACACACACAGATATATATATATAGGTTTAGGATTATGTTGGAGTTAACTACTTTTTTCCCTTTTCGATTCTTACATGATGATAATGTTTTTATTTTCTACTTGTACATCTATAATAGGCATATTTATATGTTTTGTGTTTTATGTTTTTCTTATTATTGATATTTTGAAAGTATATTTTAGGGATTTGATATTATTACATTGGTTATGTTAATAAATTATTGACATAACCGAATAAGCAAATCGAAAAAGCTGAATGTAATAGAGGAAAAACCAAACCAAACAAAATTTATTTTGGATCGGATTAGGTTACACATTTACAAAACCAAAATATAAAAAATCCAAACAGATTAGTGCAAAACTAAACTGAATGCACCCTAATTTGAATGACCCCTCTTGTAAATATATATTCCGAGATCACTCACTTGGATAATATGGAGGAATATTAATTGAACTTCTTGTATACATGTGATTGCAAATGAATTCAGACAAATTTCTTCCTTGAAACAATTGGATTTAGTTAGCATTACAGGAATAAGGTTGTTGTCAGAGTCAACAAAAAGTAGGGCGGTGTGGATTTTTTTGAACGTTGAAATTTCCTTTTCTTTTTCTAGTTGCAGAGAAGTTGTTTGATTTCTTTTAGTTTTTAGACAAGGAAACACATAACAATCTTATGTTATTTTGTTATTTAACAAGTACGAACCTTAGTTTAATAAACAAACAAAGAAAAATTTATGAAAAGAAAAAACTACTTATTTCATCATAACACGGATATTCATAGGAGATTACAAGTAAATAAACTCCTAAGAATAAGATTAAAAAAATAAGGTTAAGGATAAGGATAAGGATAAGACAGAATTTAACTACTAAAAGTAAATAACCACCCTACAATACAAACAATTTGGAATGAGAAGTTGAAATTTATTGCTTGATAATGGTATGGTTAAGATATTAGCCATCTGCTCTTCAGTTTTGCAATAGAGGAGAATCACGTCACCATTATTTTACACTTCCCTCTAGATGAAAAGCATGATGTTGAAGTGTTTTGTTTTCCCATTAAATACAGTATTATGAGAAATTGGTTTTGCAGATTGATTGTCCACAAATATTTCAGTTCCCTTTGTCTAATTCATGTGCAGATCACCAAAAATTTTCCTTCACCACAATGCTTAATTTACTGCTGCTGTTGCAGCCATAAATTCCGCCTCTGCTGTGGATTGAGACACAATGTTCTGCTTCTTTGAGCACCACGAATACATTCCTGAGCCAAGACTGAAACAATATCCAGATGTGCTGTTCATGTCATCTGCACACCCAGCCCATCACTATCATAATACCCAAGTAGTTTCAGATCTATTTTTTTCTTAAACTTGACACCATAATTGATGGTTCCTTTGATGTATCTAACAATTCATTTTTCTGCTTTTAGATGCACCTCACTAGCACAATGCATGAAACTCGATAGAATGCTTACAACATACAAAATATCAGGTCTTATAGCTTTGAGGTACATCAAACACTTGACTAAGCCTCTGAAGTACGTTTCCTCCACTTTCTCTACTCCGTCATTCTTGCTTAGTTTCTCTTTTTGGTTCATAGGAGTATTCATCTCCTTGCAACTTTTCATAGGAGTATTCATCTCCTTGCAATTTTCCATGTTAAAATTCTTGAGAATTTCCTTAGAATATTTCTTCTGGCAAATGAAAACTTCATCTTGTCCCTTCTTGATTTCCATACCAAGAAAATAAGACATTAGACCAAGATCATTCATCTCAAAGGCTTGCATCATTTGTTGCTTGAAAACCTTGATATGCCTTGTATTGCTTCCTGTAACTAGTACATCATCCACATATATAGACACAAAAAGAATATCAATGCCATGATTTTTAACATAAAGAGTAGATTCTGATAGACTCTTTCAAAAGCCTAAGCCAAGTAAATGACCATCTATTTGACCAGACCAAGCCCTTGGTGCCTGTTTAAGTCCACAAAGTGGCTTTCTGAACCTATAAACTTTATCCTCATTTCCTTTCTTCACAAAACCTTCAGGTTGCTCACCATAAATTTCTTCCTGTAGTAAGCCATTAAGGAATGCTTATTTGACATCCATAAGATACACTTTCTAACCCAATAGTGCATCAAGAGTAAGAAGTAACCTGATCGTGTCAAGCCTAGCTACTTGTGCAAATGTATCAAAATAGTCCAGACCAAAAATTTGAGCATACCCCTTAACTACTAGTCTTGATTTATGCTTATCCACTGAACCATCGACATTTAGCTTGGTTCTAAAGACCCATTTCAACCCGATTATATTTTTGTCTTCAGGTTGATCAACAAGATCCTAACTCATGTTTTTCTCAATCATAAACAACTCTTCTTTCATTTTAGCAACCCATTTTTCATCACTTTTGGCTTCATTGTACCCAGCAGTTTCAAATACTTCTACATTGCATCTCTATATATATCACTGAGTTGTCGAGTACTTTTGACTGGTAAATCATCCACCATTTTATCCCGCTGTGAGAGTGATATTTTTTCATAAAAAACTGGTTCGGAGACCCTTTTGCTTTGTCAGAAGTGTTAACGACAAATTTCTTCGAGTCATCCCAATAACAGTCATCATTTTCTATGAAATTCACGTCTCTATTAAAGATTATATTTTCAGTTTGTGGTTGGAAGACTTTATATGCCTTTGAAACTGAACTATATTAAAATAAAAATGTCATTGACAAATTTTTTATCTAGTTTATCTCATTTAGCCTGAGGAATGTAGGAAAAACAGAGACAACCAAACACTTTTAAGAAAATTTAACGATTGTTTAAATCCATGCAAAGCTTCAAATGGAGTTTCGTCTTTCACTGCCTTTGTGGGAAGCTTAGTTTGCCACTGCCCAAAATTTCTTTGGCAAGTTCTTCTCGTGCAACATGCATCTGGTCATCTCCATAATGTATCTATTTCTTCTCTCGCTTATTCCATTTTGTTGTGGAGTATAGGGAGTAGTAAGCTGATGATAAATCTCTGCTTCCTCACATAGCGTGTCAAACTGCTATGAAGTGTATTCCTTTCCATTATCTATTCTTATGGACTGAATTTTATAGTTGGCTTCATTTTTTACTTTTTCTTTGAACTTCCGAGAAATATTAGAAGCCTTTGACTTATGCTTGAGAAAATAAATCCAGCACATGCGGGTTATATCATCTACAAAAATTATATAGTGAAGACTACTTTTTAGTGAAGGAGTCATTTGTGGTCGTTCTATATTAGTATGAATTAGTGGCATTTTGTTCGAGGCTCTCCAAGTTGTCTTTGAAAATGGAAGTCTGTTTTGTTTTCCATATGAACACGCAAGACAATTTAAAGAATGTACTTCTAAAACATGCAAGTCCTTAACTGTTTTCATTTTTTTAATTTTAACCAACCTTTCATAGTGATAGTGTCGGAGTCTCTGTGACATACTTCTGCAACACTTTCTTTTGCTGAAAAAACAACATGCTCCTCCTTTAATAGATCTAATGAGAAACTTTTGATTTTCATTCTTACTTTAAACATTTCATGATCTAAAGCATCCTTTATCAAGCAATGATTATCTTCAAAATTTAACTTGTAGCCTTTTTCCATCAATTGACCAACACTAAGCAAGTTTTGATATATGTCACATACATAAAGCACATCAGAAATTATTTTAGTACCTGAATTAGTGGGAATAGCTATGGTTTCTTTCTCTCTTACAGGAAGATGGTCGTCATTACCTATTCTGACTTTAGTAATGTTTGTGGGCTTCAATTTCTTGAAGAGAGACATGTCATTTGTCATATGATTAGTGCATCAACTATCAATCGGCCACCACTCACTAGATGATCAACTTGAAAAACATGTAGCAACAAAGAGTTAATCTTCCTCCTCACCCTCAACAATTTTAGCCTCTGCTTCTTGTTGCTGACTATTGTTCTTGCAAATTACAACTTCATTCCCAAGTTTATTGCATATACTACATTTGCATCAGGCCTTCTCCAACATTTATATGGTGGATGACCTTTTTTGTTACAATTGTTACAAGGAGGATAACTCTTCTTTGAGTGTCCAGTTTTTCCTTTGGTAGTACTTATTGAAATACCTTCACCATTCTTCTTGTTCTTTCTTCTTTTTGTTTTTGCCTTTATATTGAGGCTTGGAAAACAATTCTTCCTCTGTATTTCCTTCTCTCATGACTCTTAGTTGTTCTTGTGCCTTCAAAGCATTCAATAACTCTACGAAGGCATTCTTTGACAGGTCCTTTGTATTTTCCAAAGTAGTTATGGTTGCTTCAAATATTTTTGGCACAATTACCAACATCTTTTCAACAATACATGATTCATTAAACATGGAACCAAGCAATCTTACCCTGTTTGCTATGTTCACGAGCCTTTCAGAGTAATCTTTGATGGTTTTAGTTTCTTTCACCTTCTGAATCTCGAAATCTATTATAAGATGTAGCACCTGAATACCTCGAATCCTTTCATTCCCTCTGCATTCTGCCTTAAGATAATCCCAGATGGATTTTTCTGACTTTAGAGACATAATTCAAGTGAAGATTGAAGAAGATACTGCTGAAAATAAAGAGGCCTTTGCCTTTGATTTTTTGGTTTTCTTTTCTTTATGGTTTTTTATCTGGGCCATAGTAGGATTATTAGGCAATAGAGGAACATCATAATCCTCGTTAACTGCCTCCCACATATTCATGGCATAAAGATATATTTCCATCCTTGCCGCCCAAATCTTATAGTTATCACCATTAAAAACATGTGGTGTAATTACAGAAAAACTTGATTCTGCTTCCATGATTGATAAACATGCCTTGTTGATTACAATCAAAACACTCATGGATCCATCAAGAAATAAATGCTCTAATACCAATTGTTAGTTTTTACAGAAGGAAAAACATAACAATCTTATCTTCTTTTGTTATTGAACAAGTAGGAACATTAGTTTGATAAAGGAACAAATAAAAATTTATGAAAAGAAAAAGCTACTTATTTCATTATAACACAGATATTTATAGGAGTTTACAAGTAAACCAACTCCTAATAATAAGATTTACAAAATAAGGATAACTATTAGGATAAGATAGAATTTAACTACTAAATAGTGAATAACTACCTTACTAATTAACTACCCTATAATAACGAAAATTTGGACTGATACAGTTCTTATGCATATTTCTAACAAATTTTTTCTTTAGTTATCAACATATAATCTATCCTCTTTACTGTTTTAGGAAATTACTTATTTTTAAAAAGGAAATTACTTATCAAAAAGTTGCTAACATACATCAAACGTTTATTACAAAAAAAATATAATTTAAGTAACCACAAATATAGTCTTTGTATGTTTAATGGCAACTGTGCATTTTTTAAGCTATCAATAACAAATACTGTTGTTTTGTTTATTTTGCCGATACAATGAAAAAGCTGGTAAAATAACAAGTATGTATTCTAGTTTCCAATCAGATATATATTTTCTCTTGCATAAATAGATAAGTACAAGCCCCGTTGTATAAATATATGTATATTTTACCTAAGTAGTTTAAATATAGTCAGTATGATCTCACATAAAGAGGTTAGCAATAGAATCAATGGAAGTGCATAATACCTAGTATTTTCATCTCTTGAATAGTAGATGGTCATCTATGTTGCTTAAGAAATTTTTATATTGTATTTTGTTCTATTAAGACTTTACTATCATGGAAAATCAATAAAAACAACATTTACTTAGTATTATTATTTGAGTATAGCGACGGTTCCCTTAGTATTGTGGGCTGTTGTAATAGAATGTGTTGTCTTGCATACGATAACTTGATGAATTACTTGAACAAAGTTCTTCCTTCAAACGATTAGGTAGAATTTGCATTGATGACGTTAAAAGAATAATGCTTATTGTCGAGTCAGTAAAGAGTTGGGTGGTATGGACTTTTTGAACGTTGGGATTACTATTTTTTCAAGCAGAAGAGAAGTTGTGTAATTTCTTTTTTAGTTATCAACATGTAATAGATCATTCGTAAATTTTTAAGGAAATTACATGTTTAAAAACAGAATTAGATGTTACAGAGTATCAAGAGAAACCTAATAAATTACTATTTTAATAGTGTTTCGACTACCCTATTGTTCATTTGAGTATTTTAATGGTTTGTGTTTTGTTTATATATTCTAACTAAGATAATCGGCAAAGTTCGAGTAATAAGCAAATTAATATCTTTTGACGTTCAATATGCCGATTACTTCAAAATAGTCGGGAGGTCATCTAAACTCTATTTTCTAAGTAAATTCTGAGTACTTTTGCAATAGGCAAAAAACAATTTTTTTGTGTGTATTTAAAATGGTTAAAAATAGCGGTCGAAATGAACAAATATCTATTTGGGAGCCTTATTTAAGTCATACACTTAGTGCGTACAATTTACAACTTTATCCACTTCGGAATAATTTCAAACATGCATTGCCTGGAATTTTGTGTGATTAATGTTCAGTTATATTTGAGTGAAATTTTGATATATATATATATATATATATATATATATATGTATGATCTTTAGCAGCAATTGACGAAAGACAATATTTAATTGCCACTAAATATATATTTTTAGCATCAATTGGTTTTCTTTATAAATGTCTTTAAAGCCTATATTGACATTGAATCCAATGATCATTAAGTAATGCAGATAAAGACTTTAAAAATCTTTGCTAATGCGAATATTTATTATCGTTAAAAATTATATTTTTATTATAGTATCAGAAAGGTAGGTCGTGCCAATCCTCTTTTACTTAAATCTAGCATTGGGTTATGGGTCTTTTTTACCTTCCTATGTGGATAAATAAAAGCTCAATTTGGACCAATCCATTTTTGCCCATAGTCCCATTCTTATGAGGCAAATATAAACATATTTAGGGTCTTATTTTCAGACATACAAGAGTGTTTTTTTCAGCAGCCAAAAAGAGAGAAACAGAGAGTTTTTTAGCAGCCAAAAAGAGAAAAAGAGAGCAGTTTTTCGCTGTCAAAAATTCAGCCCTAACAGCCAACTTCCAAATTGCGATTCCCGCTTCGTTTCTTGTCCGATTGAGCTGATTTTTGGACAGCATATTATATTCATCTCAATCTTTGATTAGGAACTGGCAGAGTTGGATTTGGTGGCCTGCAACTTCAGTTTTGCTATCGTGAACAGTAGCTGCGAAATTGGTGATTTTGCTCCTTTAATTCTCTAGATTTGGTGCAATCTTATTTTGTTGCCTGCTCGTTGTTTGACACTTTTTTTGTGGCCAATTTTGGAGAACAATATTGTAACTCTTGGTGATTATAGTGGAGCTTTTGGTCCCGTGGTTTTTTAGTCTTCACATCGAAGGGTTTTCCACGTAAATCTTGGTGTCTTGTGTGATTGGTTTATTATTGTCTTGTTATATTTGTTTGGTTGAATTACTTGCTGCCTTACTATCATATTGCTTGTGGTTATTCGTCTTCTCTTGGTTCAAATCGAGAAGGGAAAGTATAGACTAGGGTATTCTTCCGATGTTATCCTGTCAGACATTCTTTGTTAGTGCCTTGTATTTCCAACAAAGTGGTATCAGAGATTATTGTTGATTGTCGTTTTGATGATGGAGGAAAATATGAGCAAAATGGTGTGTTTAAATGGTAGTAACTATCATATTTGGAAAGGCAAGATGAAAGATCTTCTATTTGTCAAGAAGATGCATTTACCTGTGTTTGCTTCTAATAAGCCTCAGTCTTTGAATGATGAAAAATGGAAATTTGAGCATCTGTAGGTTTGTGGCTATATTAGACAATGGGTTGAAGATAATGTTAGAAATCATATTGTGAATGAGACACATGCCAAAAGTTTGTGGGACAAGATCGAGACACTTTATGCTTCGAAGACTGGCAACAACAAGTTGTTCCTATTGAAAAAATTAATGAATTTCAGGTATAAAGAGGGCACTCCTATTTCTGATCATATTAATGATTTTCAGGGTGTTCTTGACCAGCTGTCCGAAATGGGTGTAAAGTTTGATGATGAGATATAGGGACTTTGGCTTCTTAATACTCTGCCAGACTCTTGGGAAACTCTTCGAGTTTCTTTGACTAATTCTACTCCCAGTGGTGTTGTAACCATGGAATATACTTAGAGTGGTGTCCTGAATGAAGAAATGAGAAGATGATCTCAAGCCTCATCTTCTTCAGCTTCACACTCCGATGTTTTAGTTACTGAAGATAGGGGGAGAAACAAGTCCAGAGGTCAGAATGATAGAGGTAAATGTAGAAGCAAGTCAAAGTCTAAATACAAGAATATTACATGTGACTATTGCCACAAGAATGGGCATATCATGAAATATTGTTACAAGCACAAGAGAGATATGAGACAACAAAAGAGAGAAGGTGATAATGAAAATCGTGTTGCTGTTGTTGCTAATGATAATCTTCTTGTTTCTTGTGATGCAAATGCCATTAATCTTTTCGTGATGAGTCTAGCTGGTTTGTGGATTCTGGTGCTACTTCTCATGTCACGCCAAAGAAGGAATTATTTTCTTCTTATACTCCAGGTAATTTTGGAACGTTGAAAATGGGCAATAATCATGAAGTTGAAGTTATTGGCATTGTGACAGTTTGTTTGGAAAGTAACAATGGTTCCAAACTAGTTCTCAATAATGTAAAGCATGCTCTTGATGTTCGCTTGAATTTGTTTTCTGTGGGATATCTTGATGATGACGGTTATGTTAATACACTTGGTGCTGGCCAGTGGAAGCTTACTAGAGGTTTGAAGGTTGTGGCCCGTGGTGACAAGTTTTCTAACTTGTATGTATTTCAGGGCTCCATGTCCAGAGACTCAGTTAAATTTGGTGGAGAATGATACTTCATCAGAGTTATGGCATAGAAGGCTGAGTCATATGAGCGAGAAGGGGATTGATAGTTTGGCTAAGAAAAATTTGCTTTCTGGAGTGAAACAAGCAATGTTGAAGAAATGTGTTCATTGCTTAGCTGGTAAACAGAAAACAGTTTCTTTTCAGAGTCATCCGCCTTCAAGAAAGCTTGATTTGCTGGACTTGGTACATTCTGATTTGTGTGGTTCTTTTAAGGTAAGATCTCATGGTGGTGCACTTTACATTGTGACTTTTATTGATGATCATTCTCGCAAACTCTGGGTATTTCTTTGAAGTCCAAGGATCAAGTACTTGATGTATTCAAGGGTTTTCAAGCCTTGGTTGAAAGACAAACAGGGAAGACATTGAAATGCATCCGCTCAGATAATGGTGGTGAGTATATTGGTCCTTTTTATAGATATTGCAGAGAGCATCGTATTAGGACACAGAAAACTCCTCCAAAGACTCCTCAGTTAAATGGTTTAGCAAAGGATGAATAGAACTTTAGTTGAGAGGGTTAGATGTATGCTTTCAGATGCTAAGCTGTCAGATTCTTTTTGGGCAAAAGCACTTAATACTGCTGCTTGTGTTATCAATTTATCTCCTGTTGTTGGTTTAGATGGTGATGTCCTTGACAGAGTTTGGACTGGTAAGAATGTTTCTTATGATCATCTTAAT